TACTCAAACTCGAAGTCCACTGCCACGCGCGACTGCAACCAGTCCGGGTGAGGAAAGGGGATCCGAGGTTCAGGATGGGGCTGGTATATATTTGGGGAGGCTGTTGGTGGTAGTGGCAAAGAGGGGCTTCACCGCTCTGTCCTCGTAGTACGAGACCAAGATGCTTAAGAACTCAAACACAAAGGCCAGCGCCACCCGGGACACCAACAATCTTGAGGGAAGAGGGATCCAAGATGAGGGGTGGGAGGCTTAACGAGGGGTTTAAGCATGGGACAGGGTTTAAGCATGGGCTTCACCAGGGGTTTACATGGGAAACGAATCAACCTGGTAGCAAACACGAATTCAAAGGTGTACCGCGGAGGTACTCACTTACCTGGAAATTAACAACTCAATATTCATACCTGGATGTACAGGTTCAGAAAGTTGCCCGCGGCTCGAAACGCCTTCTCCATCGAGATGTCGTTGTCCTGGTTATTTGCGATCTGCTTGGCGCGCTTCAATGCCCAGTCGTACTTGGCCGACGCGACTTTTAGCTGAAAGTCAGTGTAGGCCTTCCCACCCGCGCGGTACTGGATCTCCTCGCCGTTCTGCTCGCCGATGTTGAGCTTGAATCGGCGCGCAAGGGCAGTGATGGGGTTGCCTGTTGCTGATTGGATCCACTGCGCGCCCATCTCGCCGCGAATCACGCCGCCGCTGCCGACGCCAGCCGCCGGCGCGGGCTCCGTGCGGCTCCACATGCGCCCGCCCACGCGGTTGCGCGCCTCGAGCACCGTGACCTGCGGGAGAAGGGGGACAGTGGGTTCAAGGGGGAAGAGGGGGGAAAGGGGAAGCGCGCGGGGGGTTTTGTCTCAAGCACACTGCTCACGGTCGGACCGCATCAATAGCACTGACTAACCCGCCGCATGGATGAGTGCTCCCGACTTCACAAGTGCGCGTGCGTCCTGGGAGCGGAAACTTTGACAAGCATCACGAGCGACGCGCCCTTTGAGGCACTGCAAGCCGTAGCTGCGGCACTCGCGGCGACAGCGCGCGTTGTTTAGCAGACGAGGCTCTAAGAGGACGAAGCGTGGGACTTCGGATTGGATCGGTGCTAGTGACGCTCGTGGGAGCGTTCCTCTACGATGCTCACGACGCACCTTGAAACAGTCCTCTTTCGTGCCGTCTGTTACGGAATCAGCGCCTTATGGCAGAAATTTTGGAAATCAATCATCTAGAGTTCCGGAAATGAAGCTAATTGGGCAATATTTGCCGGCTGGCGTACGACGCACCTTGAAGCACTCGCCATTGGTGACGGCGATGTGTCGCGCCGCGGCGACACCCGAGATCCCCGCGCCAACGACCAGCACGTTCCGCACCTCGTCGCACGCGGCCTCCGATAATCTAAACTGCAATTGCAGTGAGAAAACCACCGCGGGGATCAATAGCAAGAGCAGCAGCCTATGCCGATGCGGTGACGCATTTTGCAGACGAAGCATTCTCATGTCGAAAGCTCGAGAATGAAATACAGAAGGTATGTCACTGGGTATCCTGGTACGGCGCAAGGAAGAAGCCAGCGATTGCAGGATTGCTCAGAGATCGCTTATGAGAAACGTGTGAGGAAATATTATGGAAAAAGGACGTGGGGGAGAGAATATGGTGGATAACGCGAATAGGTGCGCCACAAGGACGGGATATAAATATGGCGCGGAGGGACGAATGACAGGACAGATGTGCAAGTTATGAAGACGTCGAGCAACAAACCTCTGATGACAGCACCAATAATTGTGAGTGTTTGCAGACCCACAGGACTTACGGCGAAGAAGCTGACGAAGAATTTCGTGTTGTGTTTTTGCGAGAAAGCGTGGGAAAGATTCTGACGATAGATATGGCGAAAAAGAGAGGCGAAATGTAAGGGCAGGAAACTTGGGAGGGTCGGTTTGTGGCGATGTCGCTTCGCGGGTAACTTGGAAGCTCGCAAGTCAAACCAGACTGCCTGAACCTCAATGCGTGGCTAAATCTGACGAGCTCGCGAGGCGATGCCAGCCTTGTAGCCATCATCACCGCTTTTCGTTTTCGCATCGTTTTCGTACAATAAACACATTGTCCAACACACGTCTTCAATTCCATATTGGGAATAGGACGCATTTGTGCTCTGACAGCAGTACTGTAGCCCCCAGCAGACCCATCTTGCTCGAGCACACTCGTCCCAGCGGACCCATCTCGCTCTCTCGCCGACTCGCTCGCCACTCTCGCGTCGTCGCTTCCCCCTTTCCCGCGCGTCGCACGGCGGATGACCTCCGACCCGCTGCCTCCGGCTCCTCCCATAATGTCGTTCGAAGGCAGCACCCCTGCTAGTAACGCGGCTCCTAGTAACGCGGTTTTTAGTAACGCCATTACCGCGTTTCTCGCTGCTGCCGCCGCGTTACTGTGCTATCTTATCTACGTCATTTTAATCAAGCCGCTGCGCTTCCGTCGGCATTTCACGAAGCAAGGCATTCCGTTTCTTCCATTCAGGTGCATTCTTCAATCTCCTAAATAAGCGGCTGACACCACAAAGCAAGGCATCTGATTTCTTTCAGGTATTACCAGCCGTAGCGCTTCACCTGAACCCCTTCGAACGCGTTTCGTCGACAATGCGCTAAGCAAGGAATTTGCTTCCATTTCAGGTACTACTCGCATTCCACCTGAAAGGTCGAACGGTCCTTCCTTCCATTCTCTGCGCTTCCATCTTCCTCGATCCACCATCCAGAGATATTTGCAGGCATTTCGGAAAGAGTGACGCATTCGCATCATTCTCGCATTCTCTTCGCCGGTCTCTCACGCTGCTCAAGAGGCTCCCAGGCCTCTATAGATTGCTGAATTTCGTGCACCAATGTTTGTTCTGCGTCCCAACTTTTTCCTCCCCCTTCCCCCCCCTTCCTTCGCTTTCCGTTCCTCCTCCCGTCCCTTTTCCTCGCAGGCCTCTGGTTGGGCAGCTTCCAGATTTCGCCAACCGCGCACCTAATCCCATACCTGCGTCCGAGCCTGCGCCTCTAGGTCCGGCAAGCCTCGGGCCGCTGCTGTGGAGGTGGAGGTGCGAGCTGGGGACGGTCTTCGGGCTCTCCTTTGGCGCCTTCCAGCCCATCTTCATTGCCGAGCCTGACCTCTTGCACCAGGCATGGCCCTTTAATGGGGAAGTCGGGAACCCCCCCCATACCTTATCCGTCCATCCTTTCCGAGAATGTTGTATGATTTAGGCGTTTCAAGCTTTTAGAGGCGGTGAAGCAAGAAGGGTTGGTATTGGCGGGGCAGCCACTTGTGATTGCTGGTCGGGTCTCTTGCACCAGAAAGCTGACATGATTCGTGAGACGAATTCATTGATCGCACACGTCACTGCAAAGTGACTTCAAGGTTGCGTCACACCAGTGCTTTCCGGACACTTGTTTCCAGGTGAAAAATCCTCGGAAAGAATTTTTAGGCGTTTTTCTTTTCCGCGATGCGACTCAGAGGAGGGAGAAAGAGCACACGCTGGAAACACGATATACGCGTGTTGGCACCTCACCTCACTCGCCATGCGGGTTTTACAGACAAACAAGAACGCCAGGCGTGTGGTCAGGTTCCTGCCTCTTCCCCCCCCTTCTCCCATTGCCACTCCCCCCTCCTATCCCACCCCACCATTCCCCCTCCCCATGCACGCAGACGGGATGTTGTGTACAAACCACAAAACTTAGATTTTCCTCCCCTTTTCACCCCTCTCCTTCCGATTCTCCTTTCCACCTCCCTCTTTGTCTTTTCTACTTCTCCCCTCCCCCTCGCCCGAACCACTCGGCGCGCACGTAGAACGCGTGATCAGAGCGCAAGGTGCAGGGTGACTGTCTTGTTGCCTCTTCTTCTTCTCTCAACAAACCCTTCCTTCTCTGCTTCTCCCCTCTCTCCCCGGCGGCACGCAGACCATGGTGTCAAAGAGCTCGTCGTTCCAGAAGGACCAGAACTCGCGGCGCACGGTGGACTTTTTGGCGAACGGGCTGGTGTTTTCCGAAGGGGCCTTCTGGGCGCGCCAGCGCAAGATGATCAGCCCCGCCTTCAGCCCCACTTACATCAAGGTGACTCGCGTTCAGCCCCACTTACATCAAGGTGACTCGCGTTCAGCCCCACTTACATCAAGGTGACTCGCCTTCAGCCCCACTTACATCAAGGTGACTCGCGTTCAGTCCCACTTACATCAAGGTGACTCGCGTTCAGTCCCACTTACATCAAGGTGACTCGCGTTCAGTCCCACTTACATCAAGGTGACTCGCGTTCAGCCCCACTTACATCAAGGTGCCTCGCGCTCAGCCCCGCCTCCATCAAGGTGCCTCGCGCTCTGCCAACACGCAACAGGTGCCAAGCAAGACGATCAGCCATTGCCAAGTAACCCTGCATGATATTGAGCCCCACATGCATCCAGGTGTTGCTCTTGATCCACAGCATCTGCCAAGCAAAATAGTCAGCCGTGCTTACATTCAAGTGCCTGCAACATCCCCGCAAGGTGCACAGCACAGTGCACACCATCGCTCGTACCAGCAACAGCAGCAGCGACACTAATAGCTCCCTTCCTCTCCTCCCCCGCTTCCCCCCCTCTTACCCCATCCTCGTTCTCTCCTCTATTCCATCCTCTTCCTCTCCTCTTATCCCACCACCCTACCCCACCACAGCACGCAGTGACGGTAATGAACGACCAAGCGCGCAGGGCAGTGCAGCAGTGGGTGCACGCAGTCACCCACGCCAGCGACAGCAACGGCAGCGGGAGCGGCAGTGGCAGCGGCGTGGGTGAGATGGACATGTATACGGCCTTCACGTCGCTCACTCTCGACATCATCGGCCTTGCTGCTTTTGGCCACACCGTCAGCACCACCAGTGGGGGGGGCGTGGGTGGCGGTGATGGCAAGGAGACGGAGGGGAAAAGGAGTGTGAAGGAGGTGAATGGAGGAGAGGAGGAAGGGAGGAGTGTGAGGGAGGTGTACGAGGCGATGAATGTTCTGAGCACGGGAAGCACCAAGAGGATGTTCTCAGGCCGCCTCTTCATCCCCTTCTACACGTGAGCCTCTGCACCCATGCTCCAATCACTGTGCATGCTCTCACGATGCATGCTCGCACTGCCCAAGAACTCTTAGTGAGGCCTCAAACCATTGCAGCCCTCTCAGTCACTCGTTCACTCCCAACTACACATGAGCCTGCACATGCCCTCAATGCACGCTAGCTCTCAGTGATTGTGGGCACGGCCACATGGGTATGGGCGCGGTGCATGGGCGCTGTGCATGGGCGCTGTGCATGGGCGCTGTGCATGTGCGCTGTGCATGGGCGCTGTGTATGGGCGCGGTGCATGTGCCTGTGCATGTGGTTGCTCCCACCCACTACCGTGGCCTCAGCTGCCTGCTGCCTGCCCGCACTGCTGTTTGCGTGATACCTACGCTGCTGCTCTTTGTGTCCCTCTCCTCCCCCCACGCGCCCATGCCCGTGTGTGCATCTACCCCCATGCGTCCAGCTGGCTGCCCATACAGGAGAACCGCGAGATACAGCGGGCAGCGGAGAGGGTGAGGCGCCTGTCTCTCGACCTCATTGCCACGCGCAGACAGCAGCAAGCAGTGGGTGCTTGGGTAGGGGTGTGGCAAAATGGTAGGGAGCGGGGAGCAGGAGAGGCGTGAGGGTCACAAGTAGCAGCAGGGAGGGTGAGGTGGCTGTTTCTGGTCGTCACTTGCCACGCGCAGCCAGCAGCATGCAGTGGGTGCTTGGTAACTCTGGAGGAGAGAGGGCACTGGCAAGTGCAGTGTCTCCAACTTGTGGCTGCCTGCACTTCCCATTTCACCCCATTCCCCAGTCCCTCCCTCCTTTCGCTCCACCTTTCACCAGTGTCCTCTCCCCTTCCTCTCCCCAGGGCGAGCGGGGTAAGGGCCTGCTGGTCGTGATGCTGGCGGGCCCAATCTCCCTTCCGCAATTCCCCATGCTCTAAGCCCACCGATGCCCCAAGCCGCATGCCTCATTCCCCATGCCCCATTCGCTTTGCTCCCTGTCGTATTACTCATGGTTCACAGTGCTCCATCACCACGTTCCATTCCCCACCAACCATGCCCCATACCCCACGCCCCACGCCCCACGCCCCATGCCCCATGCCCCATGCCCCATGCCCCATGCCCCATGCCCCATGCTTTATGCCCCAGTCTCCATGCCGTGTGCGTGTGCGCCCCTCAGGGCAAGCCAGGGAAGGACCTGCTGGTGTGTCAGAGCATAACAGAATTCCCCCCGTCAGCCCAATCCGAACTTCAACCCCCCTCCCTTCCCCCCATTCTCCTCCCATTCTCCCCATGGTCCCCTTTTCTCCACCATGGGCAGTGATGCTTTCGTGTGCGGTGCAGGAATCTCCCCATCTTCCCAATCCCAACCCCATTCCCCCCTCCTTTCTTCCTCCCTCTCCCCATGCTCCCCTTGCTCCAATCAGAGCGAGCCGGGGAAGGACCTGCTGGCAGTGGTGCTGGCGTGTGCTGGTCATTATTCCCCGAATCGTGTGCTAGGCATGATTTCACCCCCCCACCCCAACCTCCCTCACCCCATGCTCCCCTTGCTCCAATCAGAGCGAGCCGGGGAGGGACCTGCTGGCAGTGATGCTGGCAGCGAGGGATGACGTCAGCAACGAGCAGATGACCGACCAGCAGCTGGTGGATGAGTGCATCACGTTCCTTGTGGCCGGTATGGTGCGGTGCTGTGCGGTGCTGTGTGGTGGTGGGTGGTGGTGGTGGGTGGTGGTGGGCGACGATGAGTGATGGTGGTGGTGTGTGCGGTTCTGGGTGTTATTTTGTGGTGATGAGTGGTGGAGCAGCATGGGAAGGAATGTAGTTGTGTGGCATGGTGACAAGCTTGCAGCAGGTGGGTGAATGTGTGACATGTGTGCCGTGCTTGCTGCTGCTGGTACTGCCTGTGGTGCTGGTAATAAGTTGCATGTGAAAAGAGTGTTGTGCTGATGTGCGCTATTTTTTGCTGTGGTGCCGATTGGCGGTGGCCACAGGTGATGGTCCTGTGCGCGTGGCGACGTGGGGTGATGTGTGCTTGTGTGCTCTGTTGTACGATGGCATGGGTCGATGTGCGGTGATGGCGTTTCAGTGAGAAGTAGACCTGTTGGTGTGGGTGGCAGAGGAGAGGTAGACCTGTTGGTGTGTGGGTAGCAAAGGAGTCGGAGACAGAGGGGCATGTGTCCTTAATCCTTTACTCCCGTGCTCCCATACTGTTCCCACCCCTCCCACGGGCAGGTCACGAGACCACAGCGAAGCTGCTGACGTGGGGCGTGTATCTGCTGGCGCGCTTCCCTGAGTGGCAGCAACGGCTAAGGGAGGAGGTGTGGCAGGTGATGGGGGAGCATGGGGATGCGGGGAAACGGACCAAGGAAGGTGGAGAGGAAGGGGAGAAGGAGGAGGGGGCGCGGGGCAAGAAGGGAGGGGGCGGAGTGGAGGTGGCATGGGAGCAAGTGGCGCAGCTGCGGCAGATGCACATGGTGCTGCTCGAAACACTCCGGCTCTTCCCACCCACGCCTACCATCACCAGGGAGGCCAGCAAGGTGAGGCACATGCATTACATGTCTGCCCCCATGCCGTTCCCCATGCCTCCACCCATGCCTTCCCCTATGCCTTCCCTCATGCCTTCGCCATTGCCGCATTCCCCTATGTCCCGTGCCCCTCAGGACGTCGCCCTGGGCCCGTACAGCATCCCAGCGGGCACGCGCATCATGATGTCGCTTGCCATGCCGCACAGCGACCCGCGCTACTGGGGGGAGGATGTGCTGGAGTTCAACCCTGCACGCTTCAAGGGTATGCTCACACCCGCGCCTCATGTTGCCCGCCTCATTGTGCCGCGCCTCATATGCTTCTAGGGGAATGGAAGAGAGGGAGGGAGGGAGAAGAGAGGGGGGAGGGAGGGGTAGAGGGGGGGGGGGATACACATTGCAGTCCAAATTAACGTGAGCACTTGAAGTTACATCTTGCATGTGCATGCATCTTAGGTAGGTGTTTGTGCAAAATGCACTTCGTTTCATCTCGGAGTGCACGGTCCTCTCACTGCACATGGGTACTGACATTGTTCTCCATCCTGCACATGGACTTTTTCTTGCTTAGGCTCCTCCCTCTGCCCTTCATCCCATCACTCCATCCTCCTCCCACTGTCCTGCATTCCCTCAGTCCCCTTCATCCTCCCACTGCTCTTCATCCCCTGACTGCCCACCCTCCCCTCGCCATGAGTCCCCACAGACGGCATACAGGGAGCATGTTCACACCCACAGGCCTTTGTGCCATTCTCAGCGGGCCCACGGGACTGCATCGGCTCCAACTTTGCTCTCACAGAGGCCAAGGTTGTGCTTGCGCATTTGCTCAGGCGCCTCGAGTGGGACCTCTCGCCCACATACGTACACCTGCCCAGTGTGGGAATCACGCTTACCCCTAAATATGGGATGCCTCTACGTATGAGGTTGGTGGAGTAGCTTGTTACTAATTTTGAACTTATCTATCTATCACTTGTTGTTATGTCTCATCTTTAAGCTTGTACTTGCATATGTATTATAGTGCTTCCTATTATGCACATGTTACCCTAAACCAAAACCGCAAACGTAAAAAAAGATGTGATGACAGCCAGGCTTGAGGCTCAGAGAAAAGTGGAAATGGAAATGTATCTGTGACGGACCCAACGACTACGATGTAAAACATATTCTTGGCTTCGATCGAACGCAGTTACCATACCAGTATGAAAATAGCAGAGAAATATGAGAACGTGTAGGATTGGAGAAAAAAAATATGAATGCAATTGGGATCAATCAAATGAATCAAAATATAAAAGTATGAGCCCCTATGTAATCCATAATATAACAAACTAAAATGATTGATATCGTACACCCCAGACACTGTTTGTTGAATATCAGTGTTTCAATGGTTTCCGAACCTGGGTCTTGGTTTGGGAGAACCGGATCCTGGCTAAGGGCGTGTTGCTTCATGTGCAAGCGGGGTCCAAGCGCTGGACCTCGAAGCGGGTAACTCTACATATGTGAAAATACTAAGCACGAAGCAAAGTTGTGTAACTCGGGGTCAAGCGAATGAAATTGGCCAAACAAGCCCCAGGATCGTCCAGTGAAGAAATTCTCTGTCGCGCTGCTACCAACCAGAGACTCTCCCAGAAATTCAAATCTTGGACCTCGGTTCACCACGTATGAATCTGCAAAACCACCCCACGACAGACTGAACCTCGTTTTGCACGACGCCCTAAACTCCAGCTTTTGTGCTGGGCAGGCAGCCCGCACGGGAGTGTCATCCGGGAAGCAGGGAAACCAGCTCATGAGATTCTCGAGGGAACGAATGCTGAGGAGAAATCCAGGGGGAAACTGCTCAATACTCTCAATCAACCTAGAGCCTCGCGAGCGTCTGGATCACGAGCAGCTTGCGGAACTGCTGCAATGTATATGCGGTATAGCAGCTGCTGAAAGCACCTGCTGAAAGCACGCATCTTCCTGCTTGCGGTGTACACATTCTGCCGCAACGGTCTCAGCGTTCTCTTGCGATCGGTGATTGGGCGAATCCTCAACGGCAGCAACGGTCGCATCTAGCTGAGGTTGTCTTAGGTCAGAAAGAGCTCAACCATCCTTCTCCTGGAAGCCGTGGTCCCAGCCATTCCACTCTGGCGAGGTTTTGTAAGCTTTAACTGAGCTACCAGTTGGTGCACGTGACGGCCGCTAGCATGGACTCGAGTGGAACTCACATCCACGATCTCATCGACGACGTGCTCATTCGGATCTTATGGCCTTCCGCGCCGTCAAGCCCGTCAAGCCCGTACATTTCCGAGAGCGATGATATCTGGAATTTTGTGGTGCCCAGTCCCACGTACCTTGTCGAGCACGCCACTCCAGAAGAGCCATGGCGCGAACGAAGTGACTCTCCCATGCCGACCCCTCCTGCCTCCGCGGATGCCGCTCACAACCTCTTCATCGCCTCTATCTGCCGTCGCTGGCGGCGACTGGCTCAGAGGCACGTCGCGTCGCTGCTCGTGAAGGATAACCGCGTCGTGTCGCACCGCGATGTGCTCAACGCGGTCGCCTGCTTTCCCCGGCTGACCCATCTGCATCTCTCGGATTTCAGCGTTGAGACGCTGGACGACGCGTTTCTAGCTGATCTCGCCGTTTCGTGCCCTGGGTTGAGGGCGCTGCATGTGGGGGAGCTGATGGGGTACGAGGGACAGCACGGAAGCAATGACCGCGTGATAACAGAATCGGGCTTGGACTTTTTCTTCCGCCACTGCTCTCAACTGGAGCAGCTGTCGCTGTGCTGTCTCGATGAAGATCTGAACCCACCAGCTTCGTTCTTCCAGCTTCAGCATCTGCGCACCCTCGTCTTGACCACCGCCTTCATCTTGAACTCTCCAGATCTCAGCTCTCTTTCGGCTCTCACAGCACTCTCCATCGATGGCCTCAACCTTGAATACAACCAGCTCTCCACCCTCCTTCAACTCACCAACCTCACCCGCCTCTCCCTGCCCGCCCTCCACCAACCAATTTCAGCAGATCCGCCCGCCTTCTCGCTCGCACAGCTGCCTACTCTCCACTCGCTCAGATTCGGACCGTATGATGCGCCTTTCAGCGTTTTTTTCCCTCCGGGATCGCCATTCCGGTTCCTGAAACGCCTGCAGCTCAGCTATTGCTTCGACGAGGAGCGGCTTCCAAGCAATATTGGACAGGTGCTGCCGCGCCTGCAAGAGCTCAGCATCAACGAGTGCGAAGCCTTGAGCGATCTGACTGACGCCATCACGTCGCTCACCTGCCTGGAGAGCCTGACCGTATGCCACTGCAGAGTGTACGATCTGCCGGAAGACTTTGGCCATCTTCCCGCCTTGAAAACCTTGGTGCTGAGCCATCTGCTGCTCCGCACTCTCCCGGCTTCCTTCACCCGACTCGCATCTCTGGAGACGTTTTTCCTGCATTGGTGCGAAGATATGGAGGAGCTTCCTGCGGGGTTTGGTCGCCTCACAGCCCTCCGGTCTCTGAGCCTTGCAGGGTCTTCCATCTTGCAGCTTCCCGAAGACTTGGGCGGCCTGACCAACCTCCACACCTTTTATTTCGAGAAGAACAGCCTAGGGCAGCTGCTGTCGCCATTAGCGCAGCTGGCTTCGCTGACCAGGCTGGAGCTGCAAGGGGTCAATAGTGAGCTTCCAGACAGCATGGGGGAGATGACAAACCTGCAGGAGCTTTACATTCATCACTGCTATTCTTGTATGGAGCTTCCGGAAGCTGTGACGTCGCTTGGCAGCCTTCGAGTGCTGAGGATCACAGAGTGTAAAGATCTCCTGTCGGTTCCCAGGAGGCTGGATGGGCTGACCAGCCTGACGCTGTTGGAGCTGCGGGGGTGTTGGCGGCTGTACGAAGTCCCTCAGGTTCTGCCACTCAGCCTCCAGGCTCTCTGGCTCTCAGAAAATCAGCAGCTGGGGTCTCTGCCAGATATATCAAGGCTTACAGGGCTCAGGGAGCTGTGCTTGCACATGGTGGATGCAGCCTGTATTGAGGCGATCGGCGAGCATCTCTCGAATGTGCAGCATCTGGAGCTGGGGCTCACAGCGGGTGCGGAGGAGTCTCTTTCCGCGCTGACCAGGCTTCCTCGCCTCCGCACCTTGTCAGTCTCCACCATGAGGGATGCTGGACTCACAGAGCTGCCTGCTGCCATCACCACTCTCCACCACCTCACATCCATTACGATCGACGTGGAAAACTTGTCTTCTCTTCCGCACAACTTAGGTGTATTCTCAAGGCTGCGCAAGCTGGACCTATCCGGCTGCTCGTCCCTCGTGCATCTCCCTGCGTCTCTCACGCAGCTCTCCCGCCTGCAGGAGCTGAGCGTCAGCTGCACCAGCATCCGCCTGCTTCCGCCTGGCTTTGCTCAGCTCAGCAGACTGAGGAGGCTTCATCTCTCGTACTGCAAGCAGCTGGAGGCTCTGCCTGACGACTTAACTGAGCTTAGAATGCTGGAGCACGTTTCTACTTCAGGGTGTGACATGCTCCAGCAGTGACGTTTCTTTTGCCACTCATAAGCTTAGATATATAGTTTATGAAACTGCATGCAACCATACCGGGTACTCAGGTTCCATTACTAAAGTGAACATATTTTCCAAGAAAATAATAATGGATGAACAATTCGAAGCTCTGTTGTGAGTGGTATACCGTATTAGAGAAACCACATATGCGATAAGACATTATCATCTGAATGAATTGGTTTCATAATGCAGTAGCGCGCCCACGTATAGCGCCAAATGGTCCTGCTCCATTCCTCGCACCAGCCAGGGTTCGGGTTTCTACGAAGGTTTATGCGCCACCAGAAACAGCAGTAGGAGCATGCCACGAGCATGATTGGCATCCCTCATGCTCTCGTTGTGCGCCAAGGCAAGCGATCCTCACCTCACATCACATCCGACCCACAAGGGTGCCACTGGGTTCAAGCGGTTCGCGAATGGTTCAACAGTGCCAGATTATCCCACTTTTTTCGTGCATTAGCTATTTTTAGTTTGCCGGTCAGAATCTCGGTCGGACGTTCATCGTGGCGCAGCGAGGAAGCCATGGGGAATCAGAAGGCGGTGCGGTTGAAGCACAAGGGCGTGGATTTCAAGGTACGATCGGCCGTTAGAGTTACCCGTGACTACGATCGTTACGATCAAACGTTAGGTCGGTCGTAGGGACCGCCATTCGATAAATCTGTCCTTAGGGATCGCGTGTAGGCCCGTTAGCGTCTCGTCGTACCCTGCATTTCGTCGCGGAAAGCCTCGTCGTCTCTCGCGGGTATGGCGCCTCGCGTCCTTCGCTCTGCGCGCGCCACATCCGCGTACCTCCGTCCAGCGGGTGCCGCGCTCACGCGCACTGCGCACTACCGTCTCGCCGCACCGTGCGCTCGCCACGTTACGTGTCGCCTCGCCACATTGATTGTCGCCAAACATCGTCTCTCCATTTGCCTGCACTGGCCTAGACCACCTCGTCTGCTGCCGCGACAATTGCCGATCCGATTATAGCCTCGATTCACCCCGCCTTGATCCGACCGCCCTTGCAGTCGCTCCGCGCTGACCGCGCATTGCCTTTTGCCTGTTCCACGGCTGCATCAACGCGCACACGGCCGTGTGCTGCCCCTTGCTTCTCATACTCCCACCTCCTTACTCCCTCTTTCCCGCCCCCTCTTCCTCTCCCCCTCCACCCCTCCTTGATCGCTCCGCGCGCGTCTCCTTGCGCGCGCGCGAGGCAGAAAGTGCGGAGCAAGGTGGGGCGCAAGCTACCGCCGCCGAGCAACGAGACCAAGACCACCGTCAAGGCCAAGAGTGAGTTCGGCGAGAGCCAACACAGTGAAACCCCCTCTCCCTCGCTCCCACTCCCTTCCTCCCGCGTGACTGCTCGTTCTCCCCTTCTCATTCCTCTCGGCTCGCCCTTCCCGCCTCCCGCGTCTTGTTAATCACGCAATCCGTTCCCGTCTCTCCCGTTCCCAAAACGCCCTTCTCACGTCAAAAACCCGCCAATCCGCTTTCTAAACGCCTCCCTCCATCCTCCCCCCCCCCTCCCCACCCCCCCCCCCCCCCCCCCCCCCCCCCGTCCCGGCCCCACCCCCCAACACCTTTCAGCCATCGTGCTACCGGGGCAGAATCTGCTGGACGATTGGCTTTTGAGGCGCCTCAAGAATCTTTGCTTCGCCCCCCCCACACCCCTCTCCCTTTGCCCATTTCCTCCCCCCCCCCAGCCATCGTGCTACCAGGGCAGAAGCTGCTGGACGACTGGTCGCAGGCGGCGGTGACTCTCGAGTCCACTCAAAGGCCACCCCCTCACAACCCCCGCCCGCCGTTACCCCTTGCCTCCCCTCCCTCTTCCCGCTCCCCCTCCCTCCAGCCATCGTGCTACCGGGCCAGAAGCTGCTGGTCGATCGGCTTTCCAGGCGCCTCAAAGGTTCCCCCTTCCCTCCTCCCCGCCACCCCTGCCCCCTCACTCCTCCCTCCCCCCCCCCAGCCATCGTGCTACCAGGGCAGAAGCTGCTGGACGACCGGTCGCAGGCGGCGGTGTCACAGCGAGGCCACACGCTGCCGGAGCTGCTCGCGCAGTCCGGCCACTACAGCGACAAGGTTCGGCAAGGTAAGCTTGGCAGGACGAGGCTTCGCAGGCAGGCGGGCATGAATGGGTGGGCAGGGGGCATGGGAGGGTATGGCATGGGTGTTCACTTGTTTGTGCATGCTGCCACAACGCACCCTCACTTCAGACCACTTAGTGTTCTCCCCTGCCACTCCCCTCCCACCTTCCCTCTCGTTCTGCCGGCCAATCAGAGTCGCTCGTTCGCCTGCGCGAGCTGCTGGCAGCCAATCCCGACGAGCTGAGGCGCCACGCTGGCACCATCCTCGCCAAGCTGGCGCCACGCATTGCTGACGTGGACAAGAAGACGAGAGACACCCTCCTGCTGCTGATGCGCACTGTACTTTTCCCGACCATGCAGCCCGAGGTGCGGTGCAGCGCAGTGTGGTGCAGTGTGATGCGGTGCAGTGTGATGCGGTGTGGTGCGGGGTCAAGATTCAAGAGCATGGTGGATGACGGCAGGGTGGGCGGCTGCGGGAGAGGGGTGGGAGGAGGAGGGTGGAGGGAGGAAAAGGGGAGAGAGGAGGGGCTGTCTTGTCTTCTCTCCAGGCTGGCTTACACGGCTTGACGGCACTTGCTTTGTTTTTCTGCTCCAGTGGGGTAGGGAACGAGCAGGATGGGGTAGGTGGGCGGCGTCGGGATGTGGAGGACGTGGTGAGGTGAGGTTTCGGCAAGGAGGAGGCTAGGACGGGTTGAAAAGACAGCGGATAGGGAGGCACCACACCACACGGCTGCTCGCACCTCGCCACATGAGAACCTTCACAAGAGTTCATCCCCTCCCCACCACTGTGTGTGCATGCGCGCATGCTGTGCACCTCATTCTCTCGTCTCTCCATTCTGGCCTCGTCTCCATTATATCCCCCTTTTCCCGTCCCCCCATCCCTCCCCCTCTCACAGGAGCGCATGGCGCCCTTCTTCACACTACTGATGGGCCACGTGGGCTGTGCCCTGACGCTCCTTTGAGACCTCTCAACCTTCCCCCCCACCTTCCCCACCCTCCACCCCACCAGGAGCACGTGGGCTGTGCCATGCCATGACGCACAGTGTGCAACTCGTCTCCCTGTTCCCCCCCTCTCCCCCACCCACCTCCCCTCTCACAGGAGCGCATGGCGCCATTCTTCACGCTACTGATGGGGCACGTGGGCTGTGCCATGACCCACGTGGCTGCGGACATCCGCCATGCCGCGCGGCCCTTCCTCTCAGCACTGCTCGCCCACTACCCCTCGCTCTTCCAACCCTCCTCCACCGCCCAGGTACGAGCAGCCCTCCACTCCCCATCCCTCGCTTCCCCTCCCTGCCTTGCCTCCCCACTCTTCTAGTGTAAATCAATGGCTACCTCCCACATCCCGCCACCTCTCCTTGTCTCTCTTCCTCACCGCTTAGCCATCCTTGTGGGCCACCCTGCAGGAGTAGTCCCGCAACCATGAGAAACGGGATCCCAACGCCTCTGTCTCATGCAACGCACCTATGCTTCACGCAATCATGCACAGCAGTAGTTCCGCAACCTCCTCTCTCTCCTTCACGTGCGCATGCATCATCAACACCGACCCACGCGAATCTATCTTCATCCGTTCCTCCACTGTCTCACACTCTCTCCATTCCACACCCGTTTTTCCTTTCAACTTCTTCCCCCTCCTCCACTCCCTCCCACCCGTTCCCATCTATCCCCACCCGTGCTTCCCCATGCCCATGCCCTGTCTTCTCGCCCCATCCCCATCCTTCTCCTCATCTCCCCCCCCAATCACAGGTGGTGGCGCATTTCACTGACATGCTGGCCCTCGCCTCGCCCTCTGCGCGCTCCCATCCACCCGGCCCCATCTCTCCCCACCCCTGCCTGCTCCCTCCCCCCCCCCATCACAGGTGGTGGCGCATTTCACTGACATGCTGGCCCTCGCCTCGCCCTCTGCGCGCTCCCATCCACCCGGCCCCATCTCTCCCCACCCCTGCCTGCTCCCTCCCCCCCCCCATCACAGGTGGTGGCGCATTTCACTGACATGCTGGCCCTCGCCTCGCCCTCCCACCGCCGTCCGTGTCCTCCCCTTTCCCCCACTCACCTTCCCCCCCCCTCACCTCCCCCCCCGCACACCAGGTGGTGGCGCATTTCAGTGACATGCTGGCCCTGGCCTCGCCCTCTGCGCGCTCCTTCCCCGCCCTCGCCACCACCCTCTCCGCCCTCACCTCCTTCCTCTGCACCGCCTTCCCTCACACCTCCCCTCATCCTCCCCCTCCTCCTCCTCCCCCACCGTCCCATCCCCCTCCCCTCTCACCTCCTCGCACTCCCTCACACCGCCTGGCTCCGCCCTCCCTCTCCCCGCCTCCCCCTTCACGCACCCACTCCCCACTCTCTCCGCCTCCTCCCCCCCTGCCACCTCCGCCTCCGCGCCCGCCCCCCCCTCCGCCTGCGCGCCCCCAGGGGAGTACAGCTGGCGCCTGGGGGTGCGCCTGCAGCGCGCCCCCCTGCTCTCCGCCCTCCCCCCCGGCAGTAACGAGTCTGGTTACCAGGTGCTCTGGTCGCGCGAATCCGACGGGCCAATCACAGCGCTCCACGCGTACCGCTCCGCCCTCCCCCCTCCTCCTCCTCCTCCTCCTCCTCCTCCGCCCACCTCCCCTCTCTCACACCCTCCTCGCACAGCTCCGGACAGGCTTTGTCCGCTTCTAAAGAGACAAAAGCAGGCCCAGGAGGGCAGCAAGCAGCAGCATCAGCAGGCGCAGCAGCAGCAGAGGGGGGTATGGAGGGGCTGAACCGCCCAGCAGGCATAGCAGCGGCGCTCATCCCACCTGTGCTTGCCGCGGTCACAGAGTGTCTCCCCCTCGTCTCCGCGCCCTCCCCCCACCTGCCCGCCCTTGCCTGCCTGCACTCCGCCCTCTCTGCCCTCCACTCCCTCCTCTCCCTCCACCCCCCCTCCCCCGCCACCCTCCTCTCCCCCTCAACCCCTCTTCCGTCCTCCTCCTCCTCCTTCCCTTCCTCCCCATCACCTCTACCTTTGGGATTCCTGCCTACCAATCCCGCCGGGTGCCAGTCATTCTCCTCCATCTTTCCGCACATGCCTGAAGCTGCTGCAGGCGCAGCAGTGACAGCGCAGCAGCAGCAATCCCAGCCGCACCACCATCACCATCACCAGCACCAACATCACCACCAGCAGCAGCAGGGGGGCTACGGGGACGCGTTGTCACGAGTGCTGCACAAGCTGGGCACGCCCTTTCCTCTGCACGCCCCTGCTGGCCTCGCCGCTGCTGCTCGCACCAAAGGCACCACCAAGGGCAGCAGCGGTGCCGCCGCTGGGGCAGCAGCAGCAGCAGCAGCAGCGGGTGGAGGAGGAGGGCAGCAGAGGGAGGTGGGCGAACAGCTGGCGCTGCTCAACGTGCTGCTCGCTGAATGCCTCTCGCTCTTCCTCCCTGCCTCTGCCGCCGCTGCTGCCGCTGCTGCTGGGTCCGGTGGTGGTGGTGGGTCTGGTGGTGCTGGTGGGAGGGGTGTGGGGAAGAGGCGGAGGGGCGTGCAGGGGGAGGGGGGGAAGGGGGCGCTGGGGGCTGGAGGAGGGGATGGTGAAGGGGGGAGAGGGACAGGGAGGGGAGCGGTGAGGGGAGAGGCGCGGAGGCGGTTGCTGGAAGGGAGCAGATTCGTGATTCGGATGAGTGGGGGCAGAGGGGAGGGGGGAGGAAAGGGAGGAGGGGGAGGAGGGAAAGAGGGAAGCAAAAGGAAGAATGGTGAACGAGAGGGCGAGCGGGGGAGAGGAGATGGTGAGGAGGCAGAGGAGGGTGGGGACGAAAAGGGGGAAGAGGCGGAGGAGGAGGGGGAAGAGGCGGAGGAGGAGGAGGCGAGGGAGGAGGCGTGGGTGGGGCGGCTGTATGAGTTCATGCAAGGCGCGATGGAGGGCAAGGTGAGACGCCCTGCATGGCGGGGCGGGGTGAGGGGTGGGGCGGGGTGAAGGTTGGGACGGGGTGAGGGGTGGGCCAGGGAGAGGGTTGGGGCGGGGTGAGGATGTGAAATGCAGAATGCATTAGCACAGGGCATTGGGCTGTTTGAGGCGACAAATGGTCCTCGTCTCGCCAAAACACTTCTCCCTGCCCTCCCACTCCCACCCTCCCTCTTCCCTCCCCCGTGGCCCCATCGGTTCCTCAAAGTCTTTTCCTTCCCCTTTCTCCCCTTTTTCCTGCTTCCCTGTCCCCCCCCTTCCAGCTCCTCCCCGCTCCGACCGCTGCGCCAATCCTATCGCGACACGTCAGCGAGTCCCTCATCCGCCGCCTCCTCCCGCTCCTGCCGACCCTCCTCCATTACGCCCCCTCGGCCGCGCGCCGCGCCTCGCTGCTGGGCAGCTTCTCTCGTCTCTTCTCCGCGTCGCCCGCCCGCAGCGCCACCCGCGCTGCCTGCCTGGATGTGATGTTTGGGCTGCTGCAGCAACATGCGGTGGGGGGGGATGGGGGCGCAGGGGGGAAGGGTTTGAGAGGGGCCGAGGTGGAGGGAGGGGAAGAGACGGCGAAGAGAAAAGAAGGGAGGCAGGGAGGGGCGGGTGGGGCGGAAGGATTGCCCGAGAAGGTGGTAGCTGATTGGCTGACAGCTCTTCCCAGACTGCTCTGGGATATTGGGGCCTCACATCCTGACACATCACTGGTAGGTGCTTCGACACTGGTAGGGTTACCACCACAGCACCACTGGCATGATTTAACATTGTCTGCGTTGACTGCTTTCTGGTGTGACGGTGTCACCTCTACTGCAAACACCATAACAAACCCAGTACCACCCTTCCCGCTGCCCTGCTCCCTCCCCCTCCCACCAGACGGTGCTGCGCCTATTCTTCCGCATCGCCTCCGTCTCACCCCCCTCCTCCTCCTCCTCGCCCACCTCCCTCTCATCCCACCCGGCCCCCTCCCCGCCAGCATCGTCCCTCTCAGAGCACATCAGCAGTGTGCAGCCGCTGCTCGTGCCCTTCTTTGCCGCCTCCATCGCTGCTCCCCCCCCCGCCTCACACACAGCAGCACCATCAGCAGCAGAACCGCCACTAGGCAAAGCACGAGCAGCAGCGGGGGAGGCAGCAGCGGGGCAGCGGCTGGTGGTGGGGCCGTTCCTGCTGCTGCCAGCGCCCCTGCAGGCGCTCTCCCTCGACCTGCTGCTCTGCTTCCCCCGCCTCTCCCTCCCCCTCCTGCAGTCCCTCGCCGTCTGCTGCATCGCCTCCCACTCCCTGCACTCACACTCGTTGGAGTCACAATCCCAGCAAAAACAGCACGAGAGGCAAGACGACCGGCAGAACACATCTGAAGCAGCAGCGGGGCCACGTGGCATGCGGTGGTTGGCGGGGAGGGCAGTGGAGGTGGTGGGAGCAGCGCACAGGAGGGGCACAGTGGGCCTGGCGGAGTACCTGGGCTTCCTGGTGTCGCTGCTGCTCTCCCGCACGCGCGCCCACTCCCACCGCGACATCACCGCCGCGTTCCAAGGGCGAGTGAGGCAGCACGAGCAGGCGGAGAGGCAGCACCACCACCACCACAGCCACACCCACTCCCACTCCCACGCGGGCCAGGCGGAGCCCAAGGGGGAATTGAAAGGCTCTCCACCGTCAGATCTTCCTCGGAGCAAATCAGAGGGGTCGAGACGGTTCCTGGAAGATTCTTCTGGGTTGTGTCGTGAGATATGGGAGCGGGAGCCAGCAGTGGGGGCGGTGTGTGCCGCGCTCGTGCACGTGCCCGTGGGGGATGGAGGGGGAGGTGGAGGGGACATGGGGGGCTATGCAGGGGCGTTGGTGGACGGAGCAGCAGTGTTGGACCTCGTCTCACAACCACTGGCTGCTGCCCTGGTGAGTGCCATGCCACTCATGTGAAGCGCCCATCACTGCACGCCCTTCCCCTTGGCCCTCCAGCGCCCTTCCAGCTCCCCACCCACCCCCTTCCCAAACCCCCCTCCAACCCACTTACTTCTATGCCCCTATGCTCTGCCGTGCCACATCGGAGATTGACTGCAACAAGCCCCAGGGCAGATGTTCTGCCCAGGCAGATGCTCTTCCTCGAATTGTGGCACTTTGTATCTCGTTTCTTCCCCGTTCGCATCTGCCCCGGCCCCTCTCTCTCCCACCAAGTTTCATTTTAGAAAGGCTCGTCCCGTCCACCTCATCTCATCCCCTCTCCTTCCTTCCCCCCCTCCCCTTCCCCCTGTCCCACACGCTCCTTCCCCCCACAGAGCGACCCCTCCACCACTCCACCATGCCTGTACGGCATCTTCCGTGCTGTGGCCGCCTGCTCCCGCCACGCTCAGCTGCACCCCTTCCCCACCCCTACGGGCCCCATTCCGGGTGGGGCGGAGGGAGGAGGTGGGGGAGAGAGAGGAGGAGGGCGTTTAGAGGGGAACAAAGGGAAGGATGCAGGGACAGGAGATGCTGCAGACCCTTCAGTCTCAGCCACAGCAGCAGCAGACAGCATTGAGGAGTGTGGAGAAAGGGCACAGCCATCACCATCACCATCATCATCACCGTCACCATCAGCATCACCATCAGCATCAGCGTTGGCGTGTGCGCCGTCGCAAGCACGCGGGACAACACAAGGCGAGGCGACCACGTGTGTGCCGCCGTGCCTGTCAGCGCTGCTGCCCGCCAGCCTTGCCCGCTTCTGCTGCCACCTGCTTCAGGTGACCTCGCTGATCATATCCCATGTGGTTTCTCTCCTGCCTCCTGCAATTCTTCTTGCAGTGGTTTAGGTACATGGTCTGGTTTGTGCCCTATGTGAATTGGTTGGTTGTGCGCCCATCTGATTCGCTTCACAATGCATGAACCCGCACCCGCACCCGCACCCTCTTACAGGAGCATCTTTCTACACTCTCCGCCTCAACCCCTACATCACCCGTGCCCACGAGGGCCTCTCTGCTGCGAGCGTGCCCCTGGCTGGTGCCCGCCCTGCGCCTGCTCGCCCTGCACCCCTTCCTGCTCGCGCCCTTCCTCCACCTCCTCCTCCTGCCCTCCGAGAAGCAAGAGCAGGGCGCAGGGGCCGGAGCTGGAAAGGCAGGGAGCGCAGGGGCAGAGAGCACAGGGGCAGAGGGTGCGAGAGCAGAGGGTGCGAGAGCAGAGGGTGCGAGAGCAGAGGGTGCAAGAGCAGAGGGTGCGGGAGCAGAGGGCGCAGTGGCAGGGGTGCAGGCGAGAGCGGGTGTGGTGTGTGTGGCAGTGCTGTGGGGCCCGTTGGAGCGACCGCTGGTGCTGCTGGGGGCGGCAGACAGGCAGCGACTCACAGCTGGCCTGGCTGGCTTGATGGTGAGTGCAGGGGGGGAGAGGATAGAGGAAAGGGAGAGAGGAAGATGAGGGGCGTGGGCCCTGCTGCCAGTGGCGACAGATAGGCAGCTAATTCACTGCTGGCCTAGCAGGGCTGATGGTGAGTGCATGGGTGGGAGATAGAGAAGGAGAGGGAGAAGAGGGGCATGGAGCCTTGTCTTCTCCACTCCTACTCTCCAGTGCCCCTCCAGTGCTTCCAATACGACTCACTTATCCCTCCCCACCCACAGCGCACCCTGTCCACTCCCCATCCGCCAACCCCGCTCATGACTAGCAGCGAACCCCCTTCCACCCCCCCCTCCTCTCCTTTCCTCGTCTCCCCTCTCCCCCCACCACAGGAATCGGTGCAGGCAGAAGCAGGAGGCGGCTCTTCTGTGGGGTGGTGTGAGGCGCTGCTCTCCCAGGCACGCTCGCGCCTTGCCCTGCTCTATGGCTGCTGCTGATGCTGCTCATCTGATGCCTCCTCTGAAGCATCCGATGTGCCACCAGCACTGTTGAGTGGCGCCCTCGGGATTCGTTCATGATCAAGTGTTTGATAAAATAGTAGCTAAGACTAAGAAGCCATAGCTAGGTTTAGGGTACACGAAAGAGAAGTGCAAGCAGTAGAAGAGGAAAGATGATTGAACTAGAAAGAAGCGGAGTACAAATAGCAAGCCCAAAAGGGTTATACTCACTATTGAGTACCCCACTACAGACTAGACAAGCATTATGTTCTGACAGTGTTCTGTGTTATGACCGTTTGGTGCACCCACATTTTGATGTACAGTAGTGTAGTGTGCTCATTGCTCCAGATTTTGACAGTGCACGGCTTTTTATCGTGGATCTTTGCCAAAGTAGGGGTACTCATAGTGGTGCGGCTGTGCGGCTGTACCAGATGAATGTCATTCCATGCCAGCCAGTCCTACATGACATGGCATCACGTGGCACGATGGCGCAGTACTGCCTTTATAGTACATGTCCTTGTACTGCCGCCGCCATCCACCACCATGCTTTAAACTAGGGGAGGGTACCGTATGAACTTTCTCGCCTTCTAGACAAATCCCGAAGAGGATTCAATCCAACCAAAGCCTAACATGATGAATTGCGGAGCCAGTGGAGTGCACATGGGGACAGCCGCTGCTGCATACTGCATGAATTTGGCTGCAAGCCTCCCAGACTCCCCAGTGTGCATCATTGGTTGCATTGCATGCCTCCCTGGTGCGTACCATTTGCTGTGCAATGCAAAGCAAGGCATTCGCTGGAGCAGCGCACAGGTAAAACAATTGAGTAAAACAATTAAAACAATTGTTTATAATTTTGCAGCACAAATGATGGTATACATTTTATTACCAACCAGACACCAGGGGACCCAGGAGCAGGCAGCACAGAGAGGCAGACAAGAGCCAAGGCAACAGCACTACCAGCTACCCACCGTAATCAACGCATCCTCCCCTCCCCACGGCAGCACCTGTGCTCTCCTCTCCCTCCTGCACGCCCCCCTGCCACGTCCCCATCACACCCATGCCTCCCTCCAGCAATTCTCCCTGGCTCCCTGATTCACATGTTCTGACTCAAAGCCACACCCTTGCAGCATCACGTGTTCTCTTGCAAACCCAAAAGTTCCTCCACACATCCTCCCTCCACCCGCCCCCACCACAGCACCGCACAGCACCGCTTTACAGGTAGGGAGGCTCGGGGTTCCAGTTCCAGGGCATGCCGTTGGCGCGGTTGGGAGGGGTGGGGCCACCGCCCACCCAGTACGGCTTGCCATAAATGTTAGGAATCGCGCACTTGCCATTGAACCCGTTGCTGAGGTGGTACGGCTTGCGCGCGCACTGCATCAGGATCGTCACCCAGTCCGCGTACCCCACGCTCTCCAGCCACACGTTGCCGAACGCGCGGCGGCCGTACGCGGAGGGGTTGACGCCGGGGCACGTGGCCCACAGCGACTTGTAGCCGAGCTCCGTGGTGTTGATGGCCTGGCAGTTGCACCCGTACTTGAACCACATGCCGTAGTTGCTGCTCGCGTTGCACGTGTACTTGGTCGTCATCTGCGACCACCCCAGCGCGTCGGACGGTGAGGCGAAGGAGAGGAGGAGAGCCGCGGTGAGGGAGAGCGCCAAGAGCGGGAGCAGCGGGAGCGCGCGGCGCGCGGCGGCGGCGCGGGTCGTTGCCATGGTAGCGGCGGCGGTCGTGGCGGAGGTGGCGGGTGGAGAGTCAAGCCGGAGAGAGGCTAATAGGCGGTGAGATGGTACTGCGGAAGGGTGGGAAGGCGTCGACTTGGCTCCGAGAGCCAGATGAGGGAGTAGGTGCCGGGTGAGGAGAGAAGGCGGGGAATGAGGCTGGTGATGGAATGGGGATGGCAGGAGCGGGTTTTATAGCTCCAAAGGGACGGGTATGGCTGGGTGAGTGCTGCTTGGCGTGAGACTGAAACGAACCGCGACCCCGCGGCGCCCCCGAAACACCTTCTCTACCGTGCCCTGCCTTGCACTGCCCGTCGTCTCTTGTCCACCACGCCATGCGGCCCGCTGCTCCAAGCGACGCTGGTTGTTGTTTCGAGTCCAGTCGATCGGACGACACGAGTGGTAGTGCTGACGGGCAGGCAAAGAGCCACCGGTGGGTCGCATCGACGCGCTTCGCATGCTAGCGGAGTCAACGGCACGTACCTTGTACTCTCGACGGGAACATCAACTACTTCAACTACCTACCTAGTACTATCGATGCGGAGGAGGCATCGGCAGGTGATGCAGCAGCTGCTGCTGCAAGGCTGCCTGTCGTGCTTGGTCGGGCTAGTCGAATAGGCGCGTGTCCTTTCAAGGGGTGTGTGTCTTGTTCCCAGGGTGTCAAGTCCAACTGTCGATTTCGAGTCGCGAGTGAATTCGCCGAGGCAGTTGTTGGAAGGGAATTACTAGGAGACGGAACGACACATTCGTTTTCTGCCTGTGCGGCTGTCATGCTTGCGAGCGAGCGACGATGGAATGGAATGGAATGGAACGCGAAATCTGGCGGTGGGGTGAAGGGAACGACTTGCTGAGAATCGCCGGGAATTGCGTCGCGAGTCGAGGAAAGGTGCTATGGAGGATGAACGGGTGTATCAACGACCGACGGCGATTCCGTAGCCCGATGCACGATTCGGTAAACCGTCCGATCTGATGCCAAAAGAACAACCTAGACAATTGTTTTTTTTTCCCGAAAGGCATTGGGGATGGAGATTTGAGAAGACAGATCTGGTTTTTGCTTGCTTGTCAGCTTTGTGTCGTTTCGTCTTCGCGCTTCCATGTACGGTTGACTAGCGACCAGCTATCCTCGTTACAGAGTTGATTTTCAATATGAAGACGAAACGGCGGAATACCTGTCATGTAAAAAAACAAAAAGTGGATAGGTGCTGCAAGGCCTGGTACTTCGTAATTTCCAGCACACCCCCCTTCCAAACTTCGGTTATGACAAGTGATGGGGGCAGCTCCTCTCTCGCTCCATCAACTGGTAGACAAGCCACTGTGCTTCGTCGCGTTCGCATCACTGGTAACCGTCGGGTTACCAGTAACGCCTCGTGCACCTCGATCTCGTCAAGCAGGCAGCCTGGTGCACGTTCCACACGAAGCTCGCTCGAGTAGGGTAACCAGATACCTTAGAAACCCTAATTTATGCTCACGACTACGTGAAAGGTCCCGTCCAGCAGTCGCTCAGACAGGCCCCGAAACAAACGGAATGGACGGAAAACTCGACGGGACGGAGTTGACGGACGTCAGAACTGACGAGGAACGTCTGGCGGATCAGGGCGTTAAGGCAGACTTCACCAATCACGAATCGGCCATAGCCGTCGGATCCACTGGGGACGCGGATTTAGCTGACCGTACAGATAGCTCACATCAGGTCATCGCTGCAAAGGGCCCGATGCTTTTCAAACCCGCAGGGGACAGGGTTTTAGGGGATGGCGCGCAGGGGAGCAGCGCGTGGAAGAAGCGGAAAGGGGAAATTGAGGGGAAGAGCGGGGTGAACGGGGAGGGCAAGGGGAAGGGTGAGAGTGCAAGTGGGAGGGGCGGAGGAAAAGGGGCTAGCGGGGAGAGTTGCGGGTTCTGGTTAGCGAAGAAGGGGCGGGCGTGTTCCAGCCGCAGGAAGCCCGGCCACATGTACTCCTCTCCCCTGTCCCCCCGCTCCTCTAGGGTTAAGTTTTCTAGGGTTTCGCTTTCTAGGGTTTCGCTTTCTAGGGTTTCGCTTTCTAGGGTTTCGCTTTCTAGGGCTTGCTTTCTAAGGTTTCGCTTTCTCAGGCTTTCTCGGGTTTGGCTTTCTCGGGTTTCGCTTCTTAGGGTTCCGTTTCTTAAGGGTTTTGGCTTTGCATCTCCTCCCATGCGGTTTATCTCTTGCGACGGTACCATCCCCCCTTGGCCATTCCCCCTGCCCACCCCCCTGCTTGCCCCACGCTCATTTTCCCTCACTTTACATTGCATCTCGCCTGCCCTCCCTGTGCGGTGCACCTGCCCCCTCGCCCCCTGGTGTTACAGGTTCTGTGGTAACCACATCCCAGAGACGGCAGCGCTACGAGTGCCCTGCCCAGTCGACCCCTCCCAGTACGCTCCTCTCCTCTCCCTCCATACTGCGCCCCTCATTTGTCTGACCCTCCTCACTCTCCTCCTCCCCTCACTCTCCCCCTGCCCCTCTCTCTCCTCTTCCCCTCAAAATACAGCTCCCTTCCCGCCTTGTCTTCCCTGCCACATCCCACCTGCCCCTCACAATCCCACTGGCCCCTCACAATCCCACTGGCCCCTCACAATCCCACTGGCCCCTCACAATCCCACTGGCCCCTCACAATCCCACTGGCCCCTCACAATCCCACTGGCCCCTCACAATCCCACTGGCCCCTCACAATCCCACTGGCCCCTCACAATCCCACTGGCCCCTCACAATCCCACTGGCCCCTCACAATCCCACTGGCCCCTCACAATCCCACTGGCCCCTCACAATCCCACTGGCCCCTCACAATCCCACTGGCCCCTCACAATCCCACTGGCCCCTCACAATCCCACTGGCCCCTCACAATCCCACTGGCCCCTCACAATCCCACTGGCCCCTCACAATCCCACTGGCCCCTCACAATCCCACTGGCCCCTCACAATCCCACTGGCCCCTCACAATCCCACTGGCCCCTCACAATCCCACTGGCCCCTCACAATCCCACTGGCCCCTCACAATCCCACTGGCCCCTCACAATCCCACTGGCCCCTCACAATCCCACTGGCCCCTCACAATCCCACTGGCCCCTCACAATCCCACTGGCCCCTCACAATCCCACTGGCCCCTCACAATCCCACTGGCCCCTCACAATCCCACTGGCCCCTCACAATCCCTGCCGCCACCCTGCACCTCTCTTCACGCACCCCCTGCATCCTTGCTCCCTCGCCCCTTTCTCATCTTCCCTCTGCTCTCCGCTCGGCACTCCCCCACCCCCTTGCCATCCCCCACCCCTTTGCCCTCCCCCACCCCCTTGCCATCCCCCACCCCCTTGCCGTCCCCCCAACGCACGCTGCATGGCAGCACCATACTGGCATCCGAGGTCCAATCACACGTCGCCAAGTGTCCTGCAGCCGTGCAGAGGGGGTGACAGAGGGAGCAGCGTACTTCAAGGGCAGCCTCAATGCAAGAGGGCCGCCACTAGCACCGGCTGCCAGCACTAGCACCACGGCCCAGGCAGGGGTTCATGCTGCCGCCGCCTCCCCTGCCGCCCATGCTCATCCTCCCGCTGCTGCCGCTGCTGCACCTGCTGCTGCTGCGGTTCCTGCTGCTGCCTCCACTGCCGCTGCTGCTTCCGCTCCTGTGCCTGGCGGCGAGGGCATGGCTGCAGCTGCTGCCTCTGCAGGCGCGCGAGTGCAATCAGCAGCAGCAGCGAGCAGGAGGCAGATGGTGGCGTCGTTGGGGGAAGGCGAGTGGCAGCGCCTGCTGCACCTCGTGGGGGAGGCTCACGCAGTGGCGTTTGGTGGCCATGGTGGTTTGCCTCTCCCTCCCCTGACCGCCTTGGGAGAAGCCGAGGCAGCAGGCACGGTTGCGAGTGGGCATGCAGCAGCAGCAGGAGCAGGAGCAGTGCCAGCACCGCCACCAGCAGCAACAGGAGCAGCAGCAGCAGCAGCAGCAAGAAGAGGAGAAGGAGCAGCAGCAGCATTGCCAGCAGCATCAGGAGCATCGCCGCTGTTCAGTCTGCAGCAGTCGGTGCTGTGGCCGCCTGCATGTGACGCCTGGGAGCAGACTGCTAGAGACATGGGCGGGTGAGACATGGGCGGGTGAGACATGGGCGGGTGAGACATGGGCGAGTGAGGCATGGGCGGGTGAGGCATGGGCGGGTGAGGCATGGGCGGATCATCGCGTCTTTGATGTGGTATCCCATCTCTAGTAAGACATGTCAAGTCATCCCATCTCTCATCTGCCTCCTCCAATTTCATTTATCCTCTCGCCCCAATGCTCCTTCCTCCCCTCGCCCCTCATCGCCAGGAGTGTGCCATTTGAGCCGCGCCATGTGAAGCAGCAGGCGTCCATCCTGGGAAACCTCGCCCAACTGGGTCTGCTGCACCCTATGCTGCTCCCTGCTGTGTGTGCATGTCGTGTCGTGTCCTTTCATCGCCCCCCCGCTGCCCCCTCCCTGCATCGCACCTCGCCAGGAGTGTGCCATTCGAGCCACGGCATGTGAAGCAGCAGGCGTCCATCCTAGGAAACCTCGCGCGCGTGGGGCTGCTCCATCCCCTACCACACCCGCGGACAGCGGCGCAGGGAACGGAAAAAGGAGGGGCGCAGGGAGGGGCGCAGGGAGGGGCGCAGGGAGGGGCGCAGGGAGGCAGAGCAGCAGGGCAGGCGAGAGGGGCGGAGCAGGCAGCGGTGGGGCAGCAGTGTGGGGCGGAGGAGGCGGTGTGGCAGGAGGGTGAGGAGGCTGGGCGGCAAGTGGGGCAGGAGCAGTGCGATGCCTCAGGGGGCGAGGGCGAGAGTGGAGGCGAGGGTGAAAGGGGGAGTGAAGGGAGGGTTGAGGGTGAAAGGGGGGCGAAGAGGGGGGCGAAGTCAGGGGTGAGGCGGTGTATGTGGAGCTGGGCGCGGGCAGGGGGTACCTGACTCACATGCTGTGCTCCTGCTTCCTCGCCCGCCATGTGGTGCTCATTGAACGACGTGCTTACAAGTTCAAGGTGAGGGGAGAGGGTGGGTGGGAGAGAGGAGTGGGGCAGAGGAGGGGTGGGAGAGGAATGGGTGGGAAAGGGGAGGGGTGGGGGGAGAGGAGGGGTGGGCAAGGAGGGGAGAGGGGGAATGGGACGGAACATGGAGGGGAGGGGAAAGGGAGGTGGGAGAAAGGTGGGAGAAGGAGGGTTGCATGTGGTTGCTAGGTCATGTAAGTGGTTGGGTTGGGTTGAATGGGTAAGTGCAAGGAGGGACAGATGTGCCTAGCTGCAATTTTTTCAAACTCCCATGCTGCCATGCTGCCATGGTCAGCACATGGTGCTGGGGAAAGAGGAAATGCGGCATGTCGAGTTGTTTGGCATGTTGAGTTGGTTGGCATGTCGAGTTGGTCGGCATGTCGAGTTGGTCGGCATGTCGAGTTGGTCGGCATGTCGAGTTGGTCGGCATGTCGAGTTGGTCGGCATGTCGAGTTGGTCGGCATGTCGAGTTGGTTGGCATGTTGAGTTGGTCGGCATGTCGAGTTGGTCGGCATGTCGAGTTGGTCGGCATGTCGAGTTGGTCGGCATGTCGAGTTGGTCGGCATGTCGAGTTGGTCGGCATGTCGAGTTGGTCGGCATGTCGAGTTGGTCGGCATGCCGAGTTGGTCGGCATGCCGAGTTGGTTGGCATGCCGAGTTGGTTGGCATGCCGAGTTGGTCGGCATGTCGAGTTGGTCGGCATGTCGAGTTGGTCGGCATGTCGAGTTGGTCGGCATGTCGAGTTGGTCGGCATGGCGAGTTGGTCGGCATGCCAAGTTGGTTGGCATGCCGAGTTGGTTGGCATGCCGAGTTGGTCGGCATGCCGAGTTGGTCGGCATGTCGAGTTGGTCGGCATGTCGAGTTGGTTGGCATGTTGAGTTGGTGGGCATGTCGAGTTGGTTGGCATGTCGAGTTGGTTGGCATGTCGAGTTGGTCGGCATGTCGAGTTGGTTGGCATGTTGAGTTGTTTGGCATGCATGTGACATTCCTCCTCCCCTTCTCCCTCCTCCTCTCCTCCCCCCTTCCTCTCCCTAGCCCAGGTTCTAATCACTAATCTTCCTCTCATCCTTCCCCTCCTCCTCTCTCTTCCCGTTCCTTTCCTATCTCTTTTCTCCTTTCTCTCCTTTTTGCGTGAGTACTGTCCTCGTAAATGCCCCACCCTCCCCTATCTCTCCCTCATTCCCCACGTCCACTCTCATTCTCACCTTACCTCCCAATCCTCTCCCGATCCCGTACCCCCCCAAACCCCACCCCGCACTCCGCTGCCCCTTCCCCTCTCCCCCTTTTCAGCTCCCCTCCTCCCCCTTTCTCACTATGATTCTCTCATGGACCTCCTCATCTCGTCTTGATTCCCTCTCTCAACCCCCTGACCCATTCTCCCATGCAGGCTGATCGTGCTTTGAGGAAACTTCCAGGAGTTAACCTGATGCGCGTCCGAGTTGACAGTAAGTGACACAGATCGTGCCTTGCAGCATTGGCATGGGCATGGGCATGGGCATGGGCATGGGCATGGGCATGGGCATGGGCATGGGCATGGGCATGGGCATGGGCATCAGCAGCAGAATGATCCCAATGTACCACTGCAGCACGCCACTCATCACCATGCACCTCTTCACCGCTCACCATCTCTCCCCGCCTATCCCTCTCCCATGCACCCTCCCCATGCAACCCCTCCCCATGCACCCCCTCCCCATGCACCCCCTCCCCATGCACCCCCTCCCCATGCAGTCGCGGATCTGCAGCTGGCAGCACTGCCGGGCCTTCAGGGCCGCCCCCTGGTGGCCATCAGCAAGCACCTCTGCGGCCCCGCCACCGGTGGGGTGCGGTGGGGTGGGGTGCACAGGGGCACGTGGGGTGCACAGGGGCACGTGGGGTGCACAGGGGCACGTGGGGTCCTTTCCAGAGCTGTGATGTGGGGGCATGTGGGGTGGGGGCATGTGGGGTGGGGGCATGTGGGGTGGGGGCATGTGGGGTGGGGGCATGTGGGGTGGGGGCATGTGGGGTGGGGGCCTGTGGGGTGGGGCCATGTGGGGTGGGGGCCTGTGGGGTGGGGTCATGTGGGGTGGGGGCATGTGGGGTGGGGGCATGTGGGGTGGGGGCATGTGGGGTGGGGGCATGTGGGGTGGGGGCATGTGGGGTGGGGGCATGTGGGGTGGGGGCATGTGGGGTGGGGGCCTGTGGGGTGGGGCCATGTGGGGTGGGGGCCTGTGGGGTGGGGTCATGTGGGGTGGGGGCCTGTGGGGTGGGGTCATGTGGGGTGGGGGCCTGTGGGGTGGGGGCATGTGGGGTGGGGGTATGGCATGCGACTTTCAATTGGGGGCCCACAGGTTGGTCGTGAGGTGGGACGTGGGGGAGATTCACTGTGGGAGTGCAGAGAGCGGTGCGGCTGGGGAAGGGAATGACCCAGCACCTCCCAGCATGGCCCTCTCAGCCCAGCATGGCCCTCACAGCCCAGCGTGGCCCCACCCGCCTTCCTCCCGAGTGGCGTGCATCAACTGCTGCTTCTCCCTCGCTCCCCCCCGCCCCCTCTCCCTGCTCTGTCCCCATGACCATGCAGACTTGGCGCTTAGATGCTGCCTGAACGCCTCTCAGACCAGTCAACCCAGTCAAGAAAGTCAACAGGGTCAACCTAGTCAAGAAAGTCAACAGGGACAACCTAGTCAAGAAAGTCAACAGGGTCAACAGTGTCAACCCAGTCAAGAGGGAACGCGCCTGGCAGGGCTGGCCATTGCCACGTGCTGCCATCACCTGTGCGACTGGGAGTCTTATGTCAGTAAGTGATTGTAACGAGAGTGACTCTGGTCACAGCCTGTCCATGCATGTGTGTGGCAGCGTGTGTGCATGGCATGGCAGGATAGAAGCTGCTACAGCACACTCAGAGGCTCCCATTTTCTCCTGTGCCCTTATATTCTCGTCACTTGCACGTCTCGTGCATTGGTTGACAAACATCACATATCTCATTCATTCCGCACACACGCTTCACCTCCCTTCCCTCACAGGCCTCCTAGCACACTTCCATCCCATCCCATCCCTTCTTTGTCTGTCCCTTTTCTCTCCTTCCCTCCACTCCCCTCCTTCTCTTGCCAGACCCGGCCTTCTTCACGCAGCTGGGCTTCTCCCCATCTGACTTTACAGCAGTGGCGTGGATGAGCAGCTGGGTGCTGCTGGGGAAATGCCTCGTATCAGACTGCCATGTCATCCCTCCCCTCCTTCCCTCCATTTAACCCTCTTGCCAGACCCGGCCTTCTTCACGCGCCTGGGCTTCTCCCCCGCGGACTTTGCAGCAGTGGCATGGATGAGCAGCTGGGCGCTGCTGGGGGAAGGTAAGGGCGGAGGAGGTGGTGGTGAGGGCAGGGATGGGGAGAGTATGGGAGGTGGTGAGGAGAGAAAAGATGCAAGTGAGGACGCCGGTGGTGCAGCAGCAGCATCGGGAGTTGTTCCTTCAGCAGCAGCGGCAGCAGCAGCAGCACCAGCAGCAGCAGTAGCAGCAGCAGCAGCCAAGCGGAATGGTACAGTAGTGGGGAAGGAAGGTGTGGAGGAAGATGAGCCACAGGAGCAGCAGCAGCAGCAGCCGCAGCAACAGAGGCAGCAAGCAGGCCGTCCCCATGGTTCGCCCATCTGTCAGTGGAGCACAAGGTGCAGGTGGGGAGGGCGTGCAAGATGCTGATAGATGCGGGGCGCCTGGAGTGGCTGCAAGGCAGGGGGCTGGGGGTGGAATATGTGGAGTACACCACTGTTGATGTCTCGCCTGAAAACAGGATGCTGCTTGCTGTTGGGAACTAAGAAAAACAGAAAGATGCATTTGGGAGCAGACTTCAGTAGTGTAACTGAAGTTGTGGTATGCAGTTACGGTACTACTGGTAATTGTTTATCTGAACTAACACCATCCTCTTTCCGAAGACATGGGTTTTTCTCAGCAGCGCCCTTACGTTATCTGCAGTAATTTTCTCCCGTGCAAATCTCCCTGGACCCTGATGCTGTGATCGGTAAAGTCAGCTCAGCACAACAGCAGCATGCAGCCCACAAGGCCATACGTACCCCGGCCCATGTGAAACAACCAGGGCCCTAAATTCGTTTTAGGCCACACTGATGGGTCAGAGTGCACCCTCATTTGAACTCTGTGAGTCAGTGTTGCATGCGAATTTGAGTCTGAAAGTTCAGACATCACTAATTTTTTAAGGCTGAAAGTTCAGTGTTACAATAAGTTTAAAATGCGACAGCCCCACTGGCACAACGCGACTGTGCGATAATTTTCGTTTCCCGCCCGTGATTGATGGTGTTAGTGCAAACACGCCGCCAGGCTGGCGGACCCCTGCAGTACCCGTTTCATAGTGCTCCCCCGAAACAAGGCTGAGGATCAGCCTACACCCCTACAATGTGTCTGAAATTTCAGCCAGTACGTTAAAAAAAACTCTGAAAAATCAGACAAGGTACATAAAAAAACTCTTACAGTTCAGACCTGGTATTAAAAAAAAAAGGCTTTCTGGACGCTAAATCAGCGTAAAAAGTCTGATATCTAGGGCACTGGAAACAACCAAGAACGCGGGAAAACTGCCAATTTACGGTACTTTGAAAACTGCATGTACCTAGTTAATTGACAGGTTTGCATCAATCATGGCAAAGCTGCTGTTCAATCAAACCCAATTCAAGGCTGAATTCAATCTGGTAGCATCACAAAGAGGAAAAGTTTGTGTTGGTAACATTACAAGAACTACTGAAACAAATCTCATAACACTCTTATCCAACTTGATTTTATAACAATAAAAAAGCTCTCAAAGGATCCTTCCATTAAAAACTCGGCTGTTCCATACCCTGGTTTTCTGATAGCGCATGCACGAATGGACCTCGTGCCATCTTATGGACTCACATCACATCACATGCTTGTTATTCATTATTCTGTTTACAATTGTCACTGAGATGTCTCTTTTAATAATGCCGAGTAACTAAGCATTCATTGTTACCAACAATCTTCTAGATTTTCTGCAACGCAACGATCGGAAGCCCAGAATTCGTGCTTTTCGCGAGTGATGCGTCCAATCTGATGTCGCGATTTGACAATAACACCTCACTCGATCTCTTGGGGATAAGCGAAGTGCCACGTGGACTGGGCGAAATCCTCCCCTGCTCTCCCCACCTTCTCCTGCTCGGAGCCAGCCTGACAGCGTGGATAGACATCCAAAGGATTTACGTTACCAAGGAATCTCGAGGGGTAAGCCAATTTGCCGACGCTCCCACACAACAGGCACACTTCCCTGTTTGCCGAATTCCACCAGCAACCAAACTATCCGCCATGGCTGCCACCACCTCCGTCGCTGCCATGAACTTGGCTGCTCCCGTGGAGCTCGGCAACCCGGCCCAGAAGGCTTCTCGCGTGTTCAACAACACCGTGTCCTTCGCCCGCGTTGAGAAGGCTTCGCTCGCCGTCAGTGCTTCGGCTGAGGAGAAGCAGAGCAGGCGCTCGGCTCTTGCCCTCATTGCCACCACCGTTGCCGTCTCCCTTCCGGCAGCGCTCAGGCCGTTACCGGCGTGAAGATCGAGGGCCCCCCTCCTCCGGCTGGTGGCCTTCGTAAGTTTCTTCGAGGCTCATCAGTATTCATCCGATTATTATATATTCCTTGATTGCATGCAGGTCTCGCCGATGTATTGTTCTTCAGTTCATTTTACCGCTTCGCCTGAACGTCGTCCTTTGCACTCCGTCCCTTATTTTACCTGCAGCCGGCACTGAGAACTCTGACCAGGCCCGTGACTTCGAGGCCCCCCTGCGCGAGCGGTTCTTCATCCAGATCAAGACCCCCGAGGAGGCTCTTGCCCGCGCTAAGGATGTCGTCGGTGTGTTCGATGAGGTTCAGGGCTACATCACCAAGAAGGCCTGGCCCTATGTCCGCAACGAGCTGCGCTCCGAGCTCGGCTACTTGAGATACGATCTTGCCACCGTCATCGCCTCCAAGGCCAAGGCCGAGAAGAAGGCCCTGAACGCTGAGCTCAAGGAGCTGATCACCACCCTGGAGTCGGTAAGTTGATGCCGCATTGTGTCTTCATTTCAGTTTTTCCGAGACCATTTCCGAAATCAACTTGCATACCATATCTAAACCGTTGCACTTGTTCGTCTTGCAGTTGGACTATGCCGCCCGCGTGAAGGACCAGGAGGCTGCCCAGAAGTTCTTCGATGCCACCAAGTCGAAGGTGTCTGCCCTTCTTGCCAAGCTGTAAATGTTCAATCATATAAGTTTTGTTACGTTGTCATTAAGATTATTGTAACCTTTCAAACAACCCTACCTCCACTGTGCTCTCTATACGGAATTGCCCCTGAAGGCAATGGTGTTATGGGTGAGTAATTTTGCAAGGAGGGGGAGAAAAAGTGGACGTTGATCAAAGTTCAACGTGGCGTTCGAATCGTTTGAATTATTATGCAGGAACTATGAAAAGATAATACGGTACTTCGTTTTTTGCATGAACAAGAAAATACTGTTCTGACTGGAATAACCGTTATCCAGTGTTAATGTACGTTTGAATTCGGTCGTCGCGAATGTTTTTCTGACACAGACAGACAGGGTTCCTGCGATGAACTGGCGAACGTAGACACCTACCTTGCGATACGTGGCGCCAGTGCCAAGCTGCACTGATCACAAGCCGACGTTTCTCTACATACGTTTCTCCTGCCGCAACCATGATAGCTTGGACCAAGTAAAGAACACGGTGCGGTTCACGCACAGCGACTCCTGAAAGCGCTGTGGACAGCTGACTAGAGCATTCGTCTTACCCATTGAGTATGTCGGTCGTCACGCGTGCTAACACTGGCATATTTGGGGGCACGGAACATATTTTGTCCGCGCATTATTGCAGGAAATTCAACGCTATCAATAGACCTCCGATTCATGGTGCAAAATGTCAAGACCTATTCACCCAAGAAGCTTCAACAGAGACAACAACATAGCTAAAGATACTAAAGATGGTATCTTCAATATAAGAGACGAGGAAAGCTTAGCGCCAGCAAAGTTGACAGAACCAAAGCAACTATGTATAGCAATTGTAACGGTAAAAACCCTGATTGAGAACTCTGTTGTTTCTAGCCACCCTCAAACGAGTGACAACGAGCTCCCTCCACCAGGCGGTTGGTGGATGCCGATGCAGCTGCGAATGTTGAGCTTTCCGTCCGCGAAAATATCCTCTCCCTGCAGCTCGCGACGCTTTGCCGCACTAAGCTGCTGCTTCCCGGCGTCCGTCGGCTCCATCGTCCCGCGGCCCATCAGATCAATGATCTTGCGGTCGGACGGTCGACGTTTCGGCGGGCTGGGGGGAGTGTCTCCACCGAAGATAATGGAGCTCGCACCACCGGGTTGCTGCGGACACGAAAACAAACCAAGAATTAGTGCGCTGCGCATGCCCTACCTACAACGTGGATGTTTCTTAGCCAAATTTCTTAGAAGCAGAAGAATGAGAGAGGACGTTTGGAAATTGGTTTCTAAGCACGGAATGGAAGCTCACCTGGTGCACGGTGATGGACGGGCGGACATCCTCCACAACTTCCTCCCCGTACAGCGACAGCGAGCCGTACAGGTCCTTGAGCTTCGCCTGGCACAGCGGGCGGCGCTTCTCCTCGCTGTCCGGCTCGCAGCTGAGCGTGCCCATGAGGTCCGTCAGCTTCTGCGGGCACAGCGCCTTGGTCGGCAGGTAGTCCTCGTCCCCGAACAGAATCTGGCTCTTGCCGCCTGCAGGCTGCACGGGACCAGGAGGAGGGTGACGCGATGGAGAAATAAAAAGGGAAGGGGAAACATGCGGAAAGGGAAAGCTGAGGTATCAGGAAAGTGGAAATACCGAGAGCAGTATTGAACCAAAAAAAACAACGGGTATCAATGATATCTCTTTCTTGAACTCTTGGCATAAATGTCTCTATGATAGGTAGCCCACTGCAATAACTGTAAACACGGTATGCCGCGTGCGGACCTGGTGGAGGCGCACGCTGGGACGGTCGGTCTGATCGGACGGCGTGAAGATGTTGTCGGAGGCAGGTGCAACCTCGGGAGTCCTGCAAGGCGAAAGAGGACGAGGAACCAGGAGGCGTTAGCGGAGCGGAGAGAACAGCAAGAAGATGGATACAGACGGAATGAAACTGAAATTCCGGGCTTAAGCGGATGAACGAAAAGGAAAAGTATCTTACTCTGTTTGCTTAGTGTCAGCCTCCACGTGGGCGAGGACCACTTGGCTCTCAAAGTTCTTCTGCGCGCGGGAATATAAGGGGAACCGAAGAAGAAGAAGAAGAAAAAAAAATCCAGGTGCGGGAGAGAAATTTCCCACAGCCACGAGTTTTCAAGGTTCGGCTGCTATCGTCTGCTGCGAATGTCACGATCCGAACGCTCAGTGCTCTCTCCACGAACCAAGCTAAGGACAGACGGCGCAGCGTGGCGATCTATTTGGCGAAAAACCTACCTGGCTAAGGCGCTTGATGCACTTCTTTCCGCTACCAAGCACATCGGGAACGCCAGCGTCAGCGCCCTCGCTCCAGTTCAGCACATCGGCGGTGGAGTCGCCACCAGGGGGCTTCACCACTCTGTTAACTACCGTCATGTTCAGCTTGAAAAGAATCTGAAGCAAGAAGATTAGGCGTGGCGTAGAAGGTTTCGGTTGTCGTACTACTTCAAACTTGGAAAGCAAGTTGTATGAGTTGCTCGCAGAGAATAAATTGTGCTGTCAGAATTGGGCTGAGGGGTGTTTTGTGGGCTCGGAAGGAATGAGAGGAGAAATGTAGTGATGGGATGGGATGGGAGCAGTTGTGCGGAGGGGATGCACAAGAGATATGGTGGTGGCACAAGAGATAGGGGGGTGATGTTCAGCTGAATACCCGCGACTGGCACCAAGACCCAAAAAAGCTCTACTGACTGGCCAAGGCGAACTTCGGCACTCATCGCATGCCGTCGATTTTGCGTTTGGCTGTTTGTTGCGTGCATTCTATCACGTCGATTCCGCCAACCACCCCAAGCTGCGATGACACGCGCGCCATGCTTGCTGTCTGGTCCACGGAATTGGAAGATTTTGCGAGCCGCGTTCACGCGCCGCTTCCCGAGGGAACATGATGTCATTCACTTTTCCCGCGTTTGCATCCAGACAGTGCCGCAGAGCAAGGGTTGTTTGAAAACGTTATCATGTCTTGTGATGTGGTGGCTCACTCCTCGCGAATTCTGCCGACATGTCCCGCGAAGCACCCCTCACCTGCAATATACCAGCATAATACGGTGTACTAAAGTGTGCCAAAAGGCCTTCTATGAGGGCCGTAAGGAAAAAAACCCTTCTTCTTCTTCTTCTTCTT